CCAACTCTGTTCTGATCTCAAGTCTTTTGCTGTTTTCTGGAGAAGGGTAGTTGGCTCCAAAGGACAGATGAAATTTGAATGAGAATTGTTTTTGCAAAGAGAATCTGGAAGATCAGCAACTTAAACCTTTGTGTTAAACTTTACACCTCAAATCTGCACCCTGTGATCCTCTCTTATCTTCTTGTTAATACAAGTGAGTTTAGTTCCTTTCCTCGGATTTCCTTTCCCTGTGGTAATCCAGTTGACACTATGGTATAGCCAGTTAATATCCAATTGAAATAAGGGTCTTTTAGGAAAATGTCTGTGCTTCCCCTGCTACCGCTTTGGTGGGGGGATCCATTTGATAGGTTTCCCTCCTCCTCAGGTATCTGAATGCCACAGAAAAGAATGATGCATATAATAATGCCTTATACTGAGTCAGTCAATTGGTCCATCCAGCTCAGCATTGTCTATGCCAGAGGAAGGGATCCTGTGTTCTGTTGCTGAATTTCACCTAGATAGCCACCACCCACCTGAGAACATTGAAGGGGTGCATTGGGCTGGCTGAGTGCCAGTCTGATCCATGCATTCAGAGTTCTCTAGCAGGACTGGGCAGTCTTGTGTCTGAAGAGAAACAACTCTGGAGAGTGTGTATTGGACCGGTTGACAGCCAGCCTAGTTCTTGCCTTCAGAGGCATCCCTCCTCAGGCAGCTACCCAGAGCTGCCTGGCATCTGACAGCTTTGAAGTTGCTGACCAGCACTTTCAAAGGCATCCCTTGTTTAGTTGTGTGTGGCTTTCAATTGATTTTTTCCTCTGTATGTGATAGAGCAGAGCAGACCTCTGGTCTGGACTGACTTGCCAAGGTTTCAGGTAGGAGTCCTTCCCAGCCCTATCTGGAAATGCCTAGGAGTGTATTTAGGAGCTTCCACATGCAAAGTGTGCTCTGTCATTGAGCTGCGACTGCATCCCATTTAACAGGTGTGCATAACTATTTGGCCCTGAGGGTCACCCTGGTGGCACATATACTCAAATACGAACACAAACACGCAAAAACACACATGTAAGCCTGGGGATTCCCTTGCTGGTATTACTAAAGATCCTCTTCACTAATCTCTGATGTCTTATGATCTCAGAAAGAGGCCAGAGAGCAAATGGATCGGGGGAGCATTATATGATGGGAGTGCAAGAACTGCAGCAATCTAAGCTATTTTTGGCACATCACCAGACCCCCCTGCATCTGCTGCTATGGTCCCACTGACTGGGGCTTTCCTTGCTAGCTCTGGCACTAGCAAGGGAGCCCCTTCCCTTCTTTTCTCTCTGATCTCTCAGAGATGTCTTTTCAGCAAGTGCACTGAATATTTTTGTTCAGTTGCTTTCCTTTTCTTTCCCTGAATACTGGGAAGCTCACAATCTGTTTTCTTAAGGAGGAGAGAAAGCCAGACTTTGCATCTGTAGCCTTGTAAACAGCACTTTAAAGTTTAAAGACTGAACTGGCATGCTTTGTGGAGAGATACTACCTTTTTACGGTATGGTTCTGTGTTCCCTTATGTATAAAATGACAATGGAGGGTACAGAACCTTTTTCTTTTGACAGTGCCTGGACAAGGAGAGCCTTTGTGAAGTCCTGACCTCTGTGCTTCATCTTTTAGGCTGTCCTTTTCATTTCTGTACTTACTGCACCTGCCACTGTTTGGGTAGGACCTTCTCCAGCTTTCCTATTGGTTCTTTGTCTGGCTGTTCCTCTAGGAGGAAAGGTTACAATGTTTGAGATCTTTCAGTAGGTAAAAGGGTGAGTAAAGGGAGATAGGACAGGAGTGTATAAACATTTGCATGGATTAAAAATGGGTGAATGTGGATTAGGAAGATGGATCCCTCTCAAAATAGTGGAACAGGGTGAGGATGAGGCCTGATTGTCATCCTGTTGGGCGTTACATGAGCCAGATCATGTTGTTGTTGTTTGTTTATTACATTTCTATACGGCTCGTAGCCGAAGCTGTCTGGGTGGTTCACAACACTTAAGTCATCCATCCAAATTTCAACCAGCTCTGACCTTGCTCAATTTCCAAGATTAGGCAGAATCAAGCACATCAGGCTATATGGAAGCTATAGTGACCATTTCACTATTGTCATCATGGGGAGGGCATCCTTTTTGCTTTTCTCTGTGCTGAGAAAGGCTTGGTGAAAGGGGAACCACCTTCATTGGGAGCAGCAGGTTCTCCTTCCAGTGCTGGCTAAGTCTCTGCCTTAGTTTCATGCCATCCCCACAGGAGCACCATATGAGCTCAGCCAATGTTATTAGTCCTTGGTTGAAAAATGGGCTGGAGTTCCTTTAGCCACTGTTTCATGCAGGGGCTGGCTTTGCTTATCTTGTGCCTTTCCCCATTGCAGATGATTCAGGATGAGTTAAGCAGTTAGTGAAGCACTTTAGGGGATGATATAAAGTTAAAGAATCTCTTTAATAGCCCTGATCAGACATCATAAGGAGATTCCTCACTGCCTCTTCTCCAAGTATCCAGCAGAAGGCCACGGGGTTGTGCTTGAGGAGGGGAGCGGACAGAGCCTATGGAGGAAACCCAAGTCTTTGTGGACTGCATAGAGGACCTCTTTGGGTCAAATGAGGCTCAACCTATTGCTGTACAAGAGCCTGAAATTATCCAGGGAAATAGAGCTGTGGAAAATTCAGGACAGATAAAAGCAAAAGGACTTCTTTATCCAACACATGAAATTTGCTACCATAAGATGTAGTGATGGCCATCACCTTGAATGGCTTTAAAGCAGGTTTAAGCACATTCATGGAGAAAAAGGCTATCAGTGTCTCCTGGTTCAGATGTGTATATGCTACCTCACTTTTAAAGGGAGGATGCTTCTCAGTAGCAGGAACAGGCAGGAGTATGCTACTGTATACTGTATTAATTTGGGTATTCTGGCTGGAACAGAATGCTGAACTATATTGGCCTTTGGACTAATCCATTAGGATTTTCCTTCATTCTTATAAATTGAAGAGACTCAAGAGATCATTTTTTCTGTTGTGCTGTGCTTGGAAGGTGCTCCAAGCACCTTGGAAATGCCATGCACCTACTAGATCTATTTCCTGGTCTTCCTCTTGGCTCCAGATTTGAAAGGAGTTGTTAAGTTCATCAGAGGGAGAGGGGTGCTTGTCATGAGCAAATTTGTGAGCCCATAGTTTAGTCTCTGTTTTTTTAAGTACACATACATAAGAAAATTGCATCTTGTAGACTGCATCTTAGGAAGGGCATCTCAAGCAGAAGGAGTCGACTATAATAAACCTAAGAAGCTGCCTTGTAATGAGTCAGATTGTTGGTCTCATATTGACAATAGTGTTAATGAGTGGCTCTTCAATGGTTTCAGATAAGGCTCTTTTCCAGACTTCCCAGGGATGTCAGAAACTGAACCTACAGTTTCCTGCATGCAAGGCATTTGCTGCACTGCTGAGCTGGAACCCATCCCCATCGCACCCTGTACTATAGGGATAAGGAATGTGTTGACTCTGTCCCCTAGGCCTGATCAGAGCTGCAATGTGCTAACATGTAGAAGGCCACATGTTTCTCATACCTGCTTTAAGATGTCACATACCTGAAATGTGTCTGCAAAAGAGTATGTTTCCCATCTTTGGGACTGATGGTTTATTCATATGCAGATTTATTTGATTTGATGTGTATTTGATTATCAATCCTCATGAGATTCAGCAGTGACTTTAATCAGGAGGCAATTGTACTTTGAGAACTTGTTCCATTTCTCCTGTCTTTGACAGCTTGTTTTTGCATCAGAGCATCTGAGATTAGAGTATGTCTGATACCTGGGGAAGAGTAAGTGGAAGTTCACTCATGGCAGTTTGGGGGCCAGCAAGGCTTGTTTGAGATTAAGGGTGTATGTGGATCTAGAGGCAAAGAGATCCAGTAAGACTGGAAGATCAACAGCATAATCCCATGCTCCATACTTAAAATTGAGTCCCATGGTGTTCAGCAGGGCTTACAGTAAGTGGGCCTAAAATTAGGACTTATGCTGACTTAAACAAGCTTCCCATCAAACAAAAGAACCTTTTGCTGAGTAAGCATATAGGCTTATGCTGTAAGGTAGTGGTGAGAAATGTGTGGCCCGCCAGTTCCTTTTGGACTGCACCTCCCATCATTACTAGACAGCATAGCCAGAAGTAAGGGAAGATGGGACTTGGAGCCCAACAACATCTAGAGGGCCTCTTTGCTGTAAGGGCTGCATGAACACAGGGCTTGGATTGAAAGGCTTTCTGGAAGGGATGCTAAAGATACAAAAAGCTTTTGAGAAATGGAATTCCCATGAAAACTCCACTCCTTAGGATGTAGGAGCACAGAAGGCTTCTGTTTGGCACCTACTGAAAGAAACAAGGCTGGCCTAATTCTGTATCCACTCGCTCAGTCAAGTCGAACTCTTAGAAGCCAAAGATTAGAGTGGTGTGGCTGAATAGAAATTTCAGCCAGAATGGTTCCGCACACATAGCAACTTCCTTATGCATATTTTGCCCACCATGCAAAATTTATCTTTTATCTGCCTAACAGTTCATTTTCCTTGTCGTAGTTGTGTGTGTGTGTGTGTGTTAGTGGATTATATACAGTTGTGATATCTGCAAACATTGTTTAAGATAATAGCCTTCTGCAATTTGTTATTTTTAATTGTATCTCTAAGGACTATCCCGTTTAAGATCACTGGGCTTTGATAAACCAGCCAGACTTACATCTGTAGGAGGACTTTGGCATCCACAACACAGAAGCAGCCATTCCATAGAAGCAGCCCTTTGTTCTTTGCCTCGCCTTTCTTCTCTTGACTTGGCAGCCGGCACAGCCTCTCCCCCAGGGAATCTTTTCCACTGACCCCTGTGGTTGAAATGCAGCTTCTGATAGGCAGGCAGCTCCTTTTGCCTGAACCATCCCGGCTCCCAGAGAGCTCGACTGAGTTTATTTATAGCTGGCTCCTCCCCGACGTTCTATTTCAGGTCACCCCCGGCAGAAGCCATCTCGTTTGGTGGCAGGGATGGGAAACAATCGCATGAAGGGAGCCGACTCTGGTGTCTCACGGGAAAGAAGGCCTTTGTAAGATTGACAGGGAGCTGCAGCCCTTCTTTTGTGAGAGATCTCTTCTTTTAGAGACTAGATTCATCGCTGTGGTGACCTGTTTGGTTCTTCAAACCTCTCTCATTTGTTATGGAGACGTTTCCTCCCTCCCAGAATGAATCGAACCACACCTGAGATGTAAACCTCTTCTATCACCCAACTCCTTTTCTTCTGCCTCTGCCTCTTTCTGCATTGTGAGACTCTGCTACCCCTTCGCTCTGGAGTTGAGAAAATAGTTGTCTCCCCTCCACACCTTCCCCTTGGCAAAGAGATTTTCTTCTACAGCAAATGCTTTTTTATTTTATTTTCCTGGCGGTTTTGAATTATTATTCGGGCTTTTTTCACTGCTACCACCACTGTTGAGAAACCATTTAACTTTTGCAAGGAGACTTTTCCACAAGGAGGGTGGATATGTGTATGTGTGCGCGCGCATAGCTGGTTTAAAAAAGGGGATGTTGGATGGTTTCATTTGGCAGTATAGCATAAAAGCGGACTCTCCCCTGAAGTCTTTGGCTGTGCAACAGATTTTCATAAAGGGAAACTGAAGTGGAATAACAGCGGTTTGCGATCGCTCCTTGGCATGCTTCTCGTATCCTCTGTTTGGGGACTGCCAGAGATGCTGCAGACAATTTACGAAACCGAATCGTGTTTCTCTTCAGATGGAGTTTCTGGACGTGAGCCGCCCCTGGAACTCCTGTCTCGGGCACAGATCCATGCCATACCTGTGGCAGGTGAGTGTTGATTGGATCCTTTAGAATGAGTAGCAATTTTTAAAAAAGTAGTCGAGTATGTTTGAGGTTTGGTCTGGAACTGGGGACACAGTGACTGACATGTTTGGCAGATAAGAGAGTATTCCTGAACAGTGTGGAGTAGCATCTGAATTCCCTCAGTGGAGCTTGATGTACCCTACACTCTGGCACACATGTGACTGAATACAGGAAATCTGGCCAATTCCCAGGGGTCTTGAATTGCCCCAGTTCTAAATATCTAATGTTTGTGCAGTGTTGGCACCCATGATAAGGAATGGTGGTTCTTTACATTGTGATGTCATAACCTTGGAATTTCCACTATGTTTGCATCCATGACCATGGACTTTCATGTTGGCCCTTGAAATAAATTATAGTTCTGTGGAAATGGCTCAATTTGAATCAAGCCTCAGCTCCAAAACATTTTGTAAATGGCAGGGCTCGGGCACAGGATCTGTAATAAATTGCATGTGGAGGGATTTGTTTCTCATCTTGGGAAGAAAATTTTCCTCTTCACCAATGAAAACTACAATCAGCATTCCCTACTCTAGAAAGTTAGGGTGCCAGGAATCCAAGCAAACATGAGGCCTGTTGCTTCTTTTTAAAGAAATACATTGAGAGAACTCTTGACTTGCCCAAACTCCACCCCAGAATTCTGCCCCTCCTCCACTTACAGTGCTGCCTCTCACTCCTCGGGCACATCAGGTAATTAGACTGCATCTCCATTTGTGCATGCTCTTCTTTACCATCATATTATGTATTCTGGTATTGTGACATATGTTGAATGCATTCCAGAGTCTGAGAGAGTTTGGATTGGTGGACCGGTCCTGAAACTGTTGCAAAATAAGTTCTTTTGTTGATTCTGGCTAAATCTGAAAGTGATCTGTCCAACTTACTGTGCATTGCATCCTTCTGGTTGGGGTTGGCCTATAAGTTGCGTAGATTCAATTCCAGATTCCTTCTGTTATATCCCCATAAGGAAAGATGAACAAAGACAGGAAAATGAGCAAGTTTGGGCTTTCACCTTGTTATCTTTTAGTGCATTTCGGTGCAAGGTAAAAGGGCATTGGGCTGTTACGTTGAATCTCAGTCACATGAGAAATCATGCTGGTGAAAACATGCTGCCTGTGCTAGCTAAGATTATGTTTACTGAAATGTGCATGCAGAACGGACATTTCTGCACATGGGTTGTGTTTGCTGCATTGGAATAAGAGACCATCTCATTCCACGTATTCCTCCAGGTGTCTTACAGTGAGGAAACAGTCACATTTCGGAGCTGCAGTAAATTACAGACATTCTGTAATCTGTGATTATTCAATCCGCAGTAGGGGCTCCAATTGGGCCAAGCCCTTCTCTCTAGAGTACTTGGCATCAAAGTTAATTTTGATTTGATCCTACTTCATATGCTCTGTGACTCATATGAATGTGGAATTAAGTCCCGGGTCTGTCGAAGAGCTCAGAATTGTTAGATCAACACTTGGCAATAATTTCATTCCAGGAACTGTTTTTCTTCCTTTCTGTAATTATTGGCCTGTAAGTGTTGTGAAGGATGTATGTTTGTTGGGGTTTCATAATTACAGGCTCCGAAGTGATAAGACTCTGGAAACATTTTTTTTTAAATTAGGAAGGTTATATTGTAGTATCTCACCTGAAGCTAATTGTAGCCTGTTGGACTCAAGATGATTCTCCATGCCCCCAAAACATGCAGGGTCTCAAGCCTAAGAAAACGACACAACTGGAGGGTGATGTGGCATTTCATCCAGCTGTTAAAAAACGAAGAAGTGGTTTTGACTCCTAAAAATTTGAAGCTTGTCCCATAAGGAATGTGAACTATTGTTCAAGGGTTGTAAAAGGACATGCACACACACATGAAAAAGCTTTGCTTCTTGTCTCATTGTAGATTTTATCTGATTAAATTGAAATAAAGAATGTCTTGATTTAGTAATAATATGGGGCATGAACCATTTTCCATATGTTTATGGAGGGTTTTCTCTCTTGACTGGGCTTGAATGCACAGTAAAACAGTCATGACCTGCCAGAAATGCTGCTGATACCAGAGCAACATGCATTGCTATCTTCTGCATGGAGTACATGCACACACATTTATGCTGGGGAGTTAAATGTTTGGACTTACACATGGGAGATGCACAAGGGCCTTCTGTGGAAGCTCATAACTTGTACTGCTGAATGCTTGTAACCTGATGAAGGAACTTAGAAGGAAAGAAAAAAGGAGTGACCCTGCTATATCTTGTAGTTTGTCTTTTCTTCTTTCTTCCTACATTGTAAGGCTTGCTTCATTCATTTGAATTATTCAGAACTGTTTATTCTACAAATCATTTTGTGGCAGGAGTAGTCTTTCTTTATCGTGGACTAATATTTGGGTTTCATGGATTAGTTTGCATCTCTGGTGGGTAGGGCAAGGTTAGATGGTTTTTTCTGGATTAGAGTAGAGGTTGAATTAGCCTTTCAAAGTTTTAAACTGCAGTGGCTTCATAGAACAAGGATGGGCAAATAATAAATCTCCAGATATTTGGGACTTCAACTCCCAGCATTCCTGATGAGGTCATCTGGGAATTGAGGTCCCAGACATCTGGAGATCTGCCTTCTGTTCAGTTCTGCTATAGGATTTTTAGATGAAACTGACAACCAGAGAACCTGCTTTGAAGAAGTGTTTGTGTGTCTTTATTGTAAAAGTGAGACAGATGTGCCAGTGTGGAGAGCTCACTAACTGCATATATGACTTTAAAAAAAGGTTGGATAGGTATGTGTCAGAGATAGTATGATGGAATATTGATGAAGTGATCCAGTGGATCTTTTCCAGCTCATTTGCTTCTGAACTTAGCATTCTTTTAGAATTAAGAGATTTCAGGATGATGCTATATATTATGATTGCTGTTGGAAACACCAGTGTCTCCTACAGCAGATTGAGTAAAGTGCTTAAGCATCTTTTGTATGCCTATGTTTAAGGGTTCAGGTGTTTAAAGACATGTGCATATTTCTTTTACTTTCACATTGTATATGTTTGCAGTGGAATACATCTGTGTAACACTGGCTCTTCTGTAGGAATCATAACATGTTGATAACATAACATCACAACTCAGCAATAGAATAAATTACCTAGAGAGGTTATATAATCTCCTTAGAGACTTCAGGCCTGATCTACACATGCAGCAACATGAGGTGGAAATGAGATAGTAGAATGTACCACTTAAGATTACAGGAGGGAGATTGTATTTTTTAATTTACTCCTATGCAACTCCCCCACCCCTGCAAGTGGGAAACTAGCATAGCAGGAAGCAGACTGGGGGAGGACCTCTCCCTCATTGTGGTGGTTTTTACTTGCAGGAGCTTGTTTGTTTTTACATAAGGGGGCATTAAAAATGTGCACTGGCAGCCTGAGGTGATCCAGTCTAGTCTGTCCCTTAGGTATTTTGCCATTTCATTCTTCTGCATATGTAGACCAGGCCTAGGTCCTGGAAGCCATATTGGTTGTATAGGAAAAGAAACATAGAGCAAGTGGAGAGCTAGCAAGGCAGAAACACAGGTAACATGTCTCCATGTGCTTGATGTTACAAGAAATCTGAAGCAGAAACAAGTTGCTTGATTCTGCTTTCCCCATAGCTTCTAACACACAAGCTGGCTCTGATTTGGAGATAGCATGTCTGTTTGCACATTGTTTCAGAGGCTGGAAAAGGGTTGTTGTGTCTCATAGTGGACTGGATATTTGGATTAGGAAGAAAATAGAAAACAGCTGGGCAGACTCCTATCGCAAATGCTTTAGGGCAGAATGTTCTACCATTGCATATCTTCCTGTAAACCTTTGGCGAGTAAGAGTAACTGTGGAACGTCCCTGAAACTGGACTCTGCAGCATGCTGCTTCTTTGCCTATCCTCAGTTTTGATATTGTTGGGCCATCTGTTCTCCTCCGGAGATGGGATGGCCATTTCTGTGCTGTTGAGATGTGGTGGTGACCTGGGATCAAGAAAGATGTTGACAGTGGGATAAATGTAGAAGAGAGCTAAAAAGGCGATACAAAGTCTAAAAGGAAAATGTGTTGGGCATGTTTAGTTCAGTAAAAAGAAGGCTAAAAGAGATAGTTTTTACAATAACAGTTTTTATTCCAAAAGATTCTGGAAAGAACTAGAAGTGGTAGGCCATATTATCCTCTGAAGATAGGTGAAAAGTCTATGGGATCCTTTTATTCAAATTAAGCAAATTAAGACTTCTTACCTTTGCTGGGCACAACTACATGTTGCATGCAGTAGCAGGTAAGAAAAACACAGTGGCTGCTACACTGAAGAGACTGTGCTGCTTAAGTCCTGTTAGTGCCTAAGAGCAATTATGATGACATACCAGAAAGTGAGGAGCAACTGGCAGGAAATCCTGGCTGGCTTTGTAAATCCTGGGGTGGAGATGTGCAAAAAAGAAAAAAAAAGAAATCACTATTTATCATTGTTCCATTACAGCAGACTTAAGGAGCCCATCTGATGCGATTAACATTGAAGTGAGTCTAAAATAAACAAAACAAAACAGGTTGTCAGGTTTTGTAAAGTGACTGGTGGAACTTACCTGAAAATGGACTCCACAGTGTGTGGCTTCTTTTCCATCCTCAGATTTTCTGCAGTCTTTTATTTTCTAACCTTTACTGCTGGAATCTTCCTGCATGTGTCTTTTGCTGTGAGGCTGGAACCACCTCAGTACAACTTACCCAATTATTTAAATAACAATTAACCTTCCCATCAGTACAAGCACAAACCAGAACTTACAAAATCAGAAAATACAAAAATGGCATGAAAAAGTAGACACAGCCCTTCTACCAAATCCTGTGGCCCCTCAGATGGTCAATCCCCAGTATAAGGCTACACTTCAGGTCATTTTTATATTCTGTATAGTGAACTGGGCCCAGATTTAGTCATATTTAGAGAAGTCTCATTGGAAACAGTTCTCATTAATATCAGCCCCAATGATATGAACTGCCCTGCTTT